CCGCCATTTTTTCGCTTAATTAAAAATTTAAAATAAATTAATAAATGCAATACTTGTAACAATTTTGACTGTGGATTTGAGTTTATACAATCGATTTTAATACAAAATTGTTTATAAAAAATGTGCAACGAAACTGTTAAGTGGTTAAGATTCGCTGTGTGGCAGCAACAAGTTGAGTTAAAAAAAGTTGTTATTTGGAGTGTTCCATGATAAGCGTTACGTAAGCCTTATCTCTTAAAAAGCTTGTTATATCATTTTTATGTTAAAAAAAAAAAAAAAAAAGTAATATGTTGCAAACAAGTATGGAAGTTATATAAAAATAAATATGCTGTTTTTTTAAGACCAAAATAAGCATTTATTTAAATTATGAAGTGCTCTGGCTGTTTAGTTTCGATTTCGTTTTTCCAACAATACCCACAAGTACACAGAAGAATGGTTAAACGTACCATTTATTAAACTCTTTAAAATTCACAATGCATTGACTTGATGCTAACACATTATGCCTCACTTGGGCAGTAACTCAAATAACAAGAATTAAACTAAAATTCAAAGACATTAAACAAGTAGTAGAAATTACTCTACAGGGCTCAGAAACTCCTGTTACTTAAAACCACGTTGAAATTTAGTGGCAGCAAAGTAATAGTTGTTATGCCACGTAACTGCAGAAAGAGAGGTGACGACGATTGCCTAAACTCTCTCTCTTCCCTTCTAGAACTCAGTATTTAAACTTTTTCTCCTCAAGGTAGAATTTCATTACTTCATGCGCACTACCAAATTTAAATATTCTGGAATTGACAATTAAGGGAATGAAGGCTTATAGGAAAGAACATAAATTGGTACTTTTCCATTTCGCCGGCGCAAATCTCGCCAAGCAGACTTTATTGGCGACGACATACAGTATGCACATAAAAAATTTTAACAAATGTTAGTTCTAAGAATTTTTATTTTGAAGGCATAAACATTTTAATATCGCTTATAAATTTTGTAAAAAGCAAATAAATGAAGACAATAAATTTGTAAAAAGACATTAATTTAAGAATTTACTATGCTATCATGGTTCAACATCCTGATTCGCCGGTTCATATCATGTGGCCTCAAGCGATCTCATCTCAGGTAAATTACGCTACAAAATTCTAATTGTCTTAGTAATTATCTACATTAATTTCAGGTTAAAGCTTAATTTGGAATACAGGTTTAAATGAAAGAATTATTTCAATTCGTACGAGCAGCTTACTCAGAAATTATGTAAAACCGCAGTGCTTTACTTCGCTAGTTCATTCTCATTAGAATGGATGAATTGAACCCTTGAATTTGCCTTATCTATATTTTTGCCTTCGAGTAAGCAGTGTGATTGCATCCTAATTGACTTAATTACCGCGAAAGGCCTTAGGGTATAAAATTGAACTATCTGGTAAAAATTCTATGTAATTGTATGCCAGTATTGAAAGAGACAATCAATCTGATAAGAAATGGCGGCGATTTGTTTTAAAAATGAGGCATAAAAGGTTACCAGCGAGGATATTGCGTTTGGTACCAGTTGTACCATTATTGGCGACTTTATCGCCTGCGCCGGCAAAACGGAAAAGTACCCATAAATTAAATTGGTTATTTAAAATAAATATCAATCCCTACAATATAACTACAAATCAGAATGAATTTAGGTTTTTTTTTTTTTATATATATTGCAGGAAAATATAGAAAATTAAATTAGGGTATCGGATTCAAAATATTTATTTTAAACATATTTATTTATTAATATTCTTCAGTCAAAAATACATATGTTATTCAACAACCCAATGAAATACAGTTTTCAATTAAAAAAATAAATGAAAGTGCAAACATTTGGTTTTGATATAAATTTCGAAAAACCAGTTTTTCCTCATAGTCAATTACACCTAATATATAATCTAAAATTTTGAAAATTTGTTGATAGATATTCCTTTTTATTTGAACAACAAATTAGATTTTATTTACAAATGATCAGTCATAAGTATTAAAATAAAAATCACCAACAGAAGGCGTATGAGGATATTACTAACATGCTAAAATTTGCGGGTGTTGGCGAGTTCAAGCAAAAGATTAATAATTTTCGCTCAACCTCATACCCAGAAAATTGCCTCAAACACTTCTGGAATAAATATGCTGATTGTGCATATTGCAGGAATCACCAATCGCCAGAAACCGAAGTGGTATCTATGTTTTAGTTTTACTGCCAAAGCATCTTGAATGAATTTTTTTTTTTTTCTGAATAAGTGGAGTGACCATTTCCAATAAAGTTTCAAACTATTTTCACCCATTCTTATGAAGTTTTTGTAACTTCGGATATCCTCGTCCCGAAGTTCATTTAAAAGTTGATTTAATGTTCTCAATCTATCATGGCGAGCTATCCAGTCACATATTGATTTCTTTTTTTTTTTCTTCTCGCCCCCCCCCCCAGAAAAGAAATTAATTCGTTGGAAACTGCTTCACAAACTTCAAGCACTACAACTGCCATGTCGATATCCCTTTTGCAAACAAACAGAGTCGAGCTGTCAGTTTGGCTCTAACTGGCGTAAACAATCTTATCAGATTACAGGTCTGTTCACTTGGTTCGAGACACCATTATGAGGGGATCGCCAAAAGTCACTTGGAGAAATGTAAACTCACCTTATTCCAGACTAAAGCAATAACATGGTCAGTCTAATAGGGTCTAAAGGACATTTTAAGCTTATATATAAGCAGTACCTTACTAAATTCCATTGAATTAATTAAAATATTTAAGTTCAACATTGTTACTAATATCTTGCAAGAAGCAGAAATTTAATTTTTAAGTATAAGTCATGCATTTGCTTAACCTTCTCAGGACTCTGTTGTTATTTTACAGATGAGATGACAACTCGTTTATTTATCTTAGTAGGATTGAAGAATAATTTCAGAGAGTAATAACTATGCTTAACAACCAGTCTCTAAAACCTCTAGTAGAAAAGTGTTCCTCCACCAGACTGAGTATAGGCAAAATGCCTCTGTACGCCATTTTATGTGTAAGGAAGTACAAAGTTCATTGCCATTTGGTAACATTATGCAACACCCAATCATGCTGTATTTCTAATCAGCTGCCCAGCCGATATAGTGTTTACTGACTAGAGAAGGCATGGATACTTGTAAGCATATAATGTCTGATAACCCCTTAACCTACGACTTAGATTCGAAGATGTTGGGCCGAAATTGTATACAAGCTCGCACAGCATTCAGGACATTTGCACGACTTTTGTAACACGCTATTCCGGGCAATCATAAACATGATGAATTATGTAATTTTTTAAGAAAGTATATGCGAATAATTATTGCTGATACATCTGATGACGATCAACTACCAGAGTTCTGGCTTTGAAAAGAAATAAGAAATAGTCCAAAAATCTGGGACTATATGATGACTCCTGGCATAAGAGAGGAAGCCTTATGTCAATTAAGAGGAAGTCAAGGAGAATTTGATATATTTAATCTAATATTTGATGACATATTTTGGAACAATATTGTAAGCGAAACGAATCAGTATGCAGATCAAGTACAAGAAAATCCACACAGAACAAGAGTGTAAAGTTCTGTTACATGTACCAGAATGCTTTGAAATATATCATACTGTTACAGATTACTAATTTTGTATTTTGGAGTTTTGTATAAATAAACATTTTGTAATACTTGCATCTACCACAATTATTGCATCAGACTGTAATTGCGTATCAAATATTCCACGTAATATTCACTTCTAACCCGATCACCGTACATGGGCTATGCCCGTGAAAGTTAGGTTTGGCCCGATCATCATATGCGGGCTATGCCGGTGAAAGTTAGTTTTGGCCCGACCATCGTACGTGGGCTATGCCTGTGAAAGTTAGGTTTGGCACGACCATCGCACGCGAGCTATGCCCGTCATTGTAGATTAAGGGGTTAAGTCTTCTTTAGAGGTTGATATTTGGGGAAGAAGGCTGAGAACCCTCAGACTGCCCTCCCTGGGGTGCTATTCCTAAAAATCATAGCAGAACTGTAAAATTAGTGTGGCAGGACTATACCTGTATGACTAATGGTGAATTTCTGGTGTACCGCCACTTCAACCTGCACCTGTATTTCTAATCATTTGCATATCTGCCCAAGATGCACATTCAAGCCAACTTTCGTTAATGATTCAACAATTACACAGTGTGAATTTTTATGACAATGACACACACAGTATTTTGATCAAAATACTGTGACCCCTCTTATGGCAACCATCTTTAACAGTAAGCAGTATCTCTGAGAATATAAACACAGGTCAGTTTTGATTATCATCTTTTTAAGATGACCACCTCGACAGAAAACTAAAATCATCTGGAACTGAGGGAGATCATCACCTCAGAAAGGTTTCACTGTATTATTAAAAGTTATATTACAACCTGAATAAAATTATAAATATTAGTTAAAAAATAGACTGTTTTAAAATGATTTATTTTCCTGCATTGAGCAGCTACACAATATTAGAATATGGAAGATTTAAAAAAAAAAAAAAAAAAAAAAAAAAAAAAAAAAACTGTTTTCTTTTAAAGAAAAAGTGACAGGACAGAAATTTTTACAAAACATTTGCTTATATAGAGCACATAACAATATATATATATATATATTTGTAACATTTGTTATATATATTTATATGCAATATTTAAAATAGAAATGACTTATAAAATTTAATTAATAATTTATCTTAAATTATTAATTAAATTTTATTTTATCTTAAATTCATACACCATAGCAATTTAAATTTACCTAAATTAAAATGGTGGAGGCAGTGAAATTACCTAAATTTTAATTTAGGTACATTAAAATTGCTATGGTGTATGAATTACACCTAAATTTTAATTTATCTTAAAATTCATACACCATAGCATATTAGAAAAATGTCTTAAAAATTGAAAACATTTTGCATTTTATACTTTCACTGTTAAACTGATGCAAAATTCTTTAATTCAAGGGGAAAGAAAATAAAATCTTACGTTTCTTTTATTCCACTTGATTCTATCTCTAAATTTAGTCGTGAAATATCTCCTTATTCATCATGTTTGGCCATTAGCTAGTAAATGGCCTACCAGTACCGTATGCAAATACAGTTCAAGCACCCATAAATGCTGAAAATAAAATTTATTTATTAGAATATCTTATGATTACAACTACTACTTTATTGGTAAATTTATGTATTTATAGTTTGTAGTAAGTTTTCTATTTTATTTATTCCTTTCCCTTTAAGGGGTAGGAGTTGCACTTTTAGGTACAGCAAAGATTTTTAAATTTGCAACTAGCTACATACTAAAGTTATCTAAGAGCCTTACATTATCTAATACAGTCTACAGATTTAATATACACTGCTCGACACTGAAAATGCAACACCAAGAAGGAGTGGTCAGAAAGTGATGAAATTTGGAAAAAAGACAGATACAGTAAGCAGCAATAAGTGATCTCTCAAAATGATAGTCAGAATACAAAGCGAAAACGGCATCGGCTCAGTAGGATATTCATGTTTGGGAGAAGTCAAATTTAAAAAAAAAATATTAGATTTCGGCAGATAATGAAATCGACTCTTAGTACGATCTCCTGGTTTCTATACTTGTATTTGGGAAAATTTTATACTTGTCATGAAAAAATAAAATTATAAGGAGCTTGACTTACGTATGACAAAACTTGGCTGGGATATTTAATTTCAACATTTGCAGTTTTTCAACCTATTTTGACGAATTGGTTAATCATGTTAGAATAAGTTGAGAAATAAGTTTAAATGAAATCCAAAAAATGTGTATAATTTAATAAGCCGTACAAGAAAGTCATATCAGATTTTTTAATGTATAATTTGCGATCGTCACTCTTATTAAAAAATCAAACTTTTTATAACTTGTCCTCATGTAATTGTTTATTGATGCAGAATTTGTCCTCATCACTTTTTTTTTTTTTTTAAATTTTACGTCATTATCAGTATTTATTAAAAAAATTTCCTTGATTTGAAAAGGTGGGGGCAGTGAATAATTGGGAAATCTCAATATCGTTAAATAGTGCTAATTTAGAATATATCATTTAATTTTTTATTTTTATATCTTGTATGCTTATTGGATAAGATACATTTTATTTATTTATTTTTAATTCTTAATTTTTACATATTTATTTTTTAGTCTAAAGGAGCTTTGTCCCTGAAGCCTATTGTTTTCGTTTTGAGATTTTGTGTTGAATCACTATAAATATCCGTTTCACTTTTCAAACTGCCATCAAATGTTAGAGTCTTGCATTATATTTGAAGAAGTTAAATAATGAAAAATCTGCATTAAGTGTATGTATATGTCTCGCATTGTGCTAAAATAAGGGTACATAGAACCATCGAATTTTGAATGACGTAATCCTCCTACGAATACGGCATGTGGAAAAAAAAAACCTTTTTATCTCCAGTGGGCGCAATATTGGAAATTCTAAAGATATGCTTATTTTAAAATTATTTTGCGACATTGCTACTGAACTGAATTTTATGGTTTAAGTGCAGTGACGGCTCGTAATAAGCACTATGGAACTGCAGCACCTCCTATTTCCACTTATTATTATTTTTAATATTTAATATAGTGTGCCCTTTAGTCTTTAGTTCTTTCTTTATACTTTTACAATACGTAATACTTAAGCTTAATGTCAGTAGCCATCCCCTACTTTGTGAAAAAGGTACGAAAGTTCTTTGATTTGGAACTGCGCGCTTCACCAGTTCCAGGGACGTGGTGTTTGGCTGTTCTGCGCATACGCACACAGAAAGCAGCACGCGAGCCAAGGGTAGAAAGAAGAAGCACTGTCGCTCTTGCAGTGCCGAAAAATCTGGCATGTTGTTGGAAACGTGATTTCTTTTTACTCCGCACGTGTGGTATTCCTCCACACAAGGTGGAACTTCACCATACGGAACCATAAACAGAGTTGATGAAAATTTTCTACCTTTAAAAAATTGCCTTACTGAAATTCAGTCAACGTCAAATGCAGATCAAACTATTGCAAAAGCAACAGGAGTTTTAAAATATCTAAATGATGATAATTTCAAGTTTTGCTTAGAGCTTTTTTATCAGATGCCTCATGTTGAAATAATACACAACTAAATGCAATCCAGAGAAATTAGTGTGTTTAAAGTTAAGGAATATGTAACATATTTCAAAACTGCTATTTTAGAATTAAGAAACTCAAAATACTGTAAGGATTTTTCAAAGATACTGATGGCAGAAGCTAAGAAAATATGTGATTTCATACTATGTATCGATATAATGCACAGATATTCTTCCACTAAACACTTAGCAGCTGCTAAATTGTTAAACAAGAAATGCTTTGCTAGTTTTAAGAATGAACATTCTACAGAAAAAATAGTACTGACCACTGAAGCATATCCAATGATTCACAAAAAAAAGCTTGAAACCGAACTAAAAGTATTCTATTGTGGGTCTGATATCCATGAATACTGCAAATTACTAATTGAGCTACTGAAATTTATCTTCGAAAATAATCTAGATATGTTCTTAGTGAAATTCCGAAACATAAAAATTCTCTTGAGAGTTCCCATGACTACATCAGAGGCAGAACGCTGCTTTTCAACATTGAAAAGAATGAAAAATTTTCTAAGAAGTACTAGGAATTCAGAAAGACAAAATGCGCTTGCATTGCTTTCAATAAAGAAAAATTTCCTCAGTTGTCATCCAGGGATCAAGGAGAAAATTATTGATCTTTTCGTGCAAATTAAAACAAGAAGAATGGATTCCATTTTTAAATGAATAGACAAAGATTAGACTGTAACAATTTTGGTTAAAGTAATTAGGAAATGTTTAAATTTTTTCTTGTAAGATTTCATGAAGTTTCAAAATAAATTTTCTTTTTATACATGTCTGTTTCCTTTTAGACAATTGTGCCCACCAGCGGCCGAGCGGTAAAGACGCTGAACACTGGTAGTTCGGTCCGAGGTTCGAATCCCGCGAACAGGTTGGCTGCATGGGCGTTTTCGTGGTTTTCCCCATGTGTAACGTGTATACGAACCAGTTTCCCTTAGAAAGTTCTGCACGAAGGCATCCCTCCCTTTAGGCAGATAGCCCTCGTATGCTTTGTCATTAATTAAATAATCCAGTCCTTTTTAGACAATTTTTAAAGTGCAACTGTTTAAGTGCAAAGAACATGATATCTAATAAATAAAGGTAACACAAACGTTACCTTTATTTATTAGAAGGTAATAAAGGTAACAAATAAAGGTAACACACAAAACGTTAAAAAAGTCCCTTTGGACGTAATTTAAAATCTGAAACCTTTCAGATTTTATTTATTTACTATTTTTATTTTTACTTATTAGTCCAAAGGAGCTTTGTCCCTGAGGGACTATTGTTTTCGCTTTATGATTTTGCATCGAATCATTCTGAATGACCGTTTCACTTTTCAAACTGTTGCCACCAAACCACCACGGACAGCGATGCACGGAGAAACACGTCTAGGCATAGAGTCAATAAGAGTGTGGATGGTGTCCTGAGGGATGGCTCTCCATTCCCTTTCAACCATTTGCCACAGTTTGTCTTCTGAACGAGGCAAGGGCAGAGTCTGCAAACAGCGTCCAATCACATCCCATACATGTTCGATTGGTGACAGGTCAGGAGAGTACGGTGGCCAGGGAAGCATCTGTATACCTTGCAGAGCATGTTGGCAGATGCGAGCACTGTGTGGTCAGGCATTATCCTGCTGAAAGATTGCATTAGGCAGCCCCTGAAGGTAGGGGATTGACATCGGGCACAGTACATTATCCAAGTTTCGTTGAGCCGTCATAGTGCCCTGAATACCCGTCATAGTGCCGTTTTGCCATTCTGTCATCCACATCGCTCCAGTCCGGCACCATTCTAAACGTTGGCTCTATGCTGTGGGGTCAATGGCAGTCTTCTTAACGGACGTCGTGAGTGCAGGCCACGTTTAACCAATGATGGGAAATGGTTCTGGTCAGATTATCCAGAGTATCTTGCACATGCTGCAGAATCGCGGTACAAGTGACTTGTGGGACCGCCACAGCTTGTCGGCAGGTGCGTTGATCCACGCGTGCTGACGTCACTCTGGCTGCACCTGCACCCCTCCTTCTTCCCATATTTTCCTTGTTCCAACTATGTTCACCATAGCCGATGCGCCGTGCTCGCATCCATGTAGGTATCAGCTGCAATTTGACGTAAAAACCAACCCGCCCTTCTCAGTCCGATCACCATACCCCTCGTAAAATCGTCATCTGCTTTCATTGACGGCGGCATGGCATTCTCTCCTATTATATGTATCCTCAGGGACAAAACTTTCTTCAATAATTCGTCTGGCAGAAATAACGACGCGAACATTGCCCATTCTTCACGTTCCTTTCCTTATATTTTACTTCAGGTGTGTCGGAGAGCTGCGCATTTTACATCATTTGAATAACTGAGTGACGTGAGTCTACTCTAAAATTTGCATAAATTTCTGACCACTCCTTCTTGGTGTCACATTTTCAATGACAAGCAGTCTATACAAGAATAAAACTAGATTAACATAAAAACTTTTCTTCTTCTTCAGTGAGCAATATACCTATAATTCTTAGTCAAAAACAGCACCTGTATACTGCTAGACTGGGAAGTATCTTCAACAGTAAAACACATTATGGGGAAAAAATTGGCCAAAAGAAATAGGTTTCTTCTGTTAATTAAAGTGAAAGATGTCTTTTGGAAAGCAGATGACATATTACTTTACATTGAATTCTCAGCCATCGTGGCATTCTTTGTAATGACTTAATGGATGACTTGGCCAAGGCTCGATCTGATTTACCTTAGTTGTATTCTCTTGTCGATTTTTCTACTGTCAACAGACTTACTAAATCCAGTGTCAGCCTATAGCCACAAAACCTCTTTGAAGAATTAGTTGAAAAGAAGTGCTAGTATTTAAAGTTATTATGTTTTTTGAAAGGATTTTGAGTTTAAAAAATTCTTTTTACATGTGAATGCAGTTGTTCTAAAAGTTTTTCAGTTGGCAGCACACTTGCAAGTTTAGTATTATGTCACAGCACCCAATCATGTTCAACGAAGTGTTGTACAAGCTATTTAAACACTGAAAAAAACTAGAAACATCAAAAAAAATAATGCTGTAAATATATTTGAACAGAAAAACTTTAAATACATAATACGCCCACAAATGCTTTACAACCTGCTTACTACATAGCGTCATTAATCACAACACTTCATTAAATACGACTGCATATTGATACTAGTGACCAGGCACAGAAATGAAAACAACCATAATCTGAGGCTTATATAGATATATATTAAACCAAGACACAAGAATATTATATTATTATTATTAAAGAAAAATAGGAAAAAATCAATGGAATGGGTGAGCTTGCTGAGCTCCACAAAGGTTTTCAAAGCGAGAGATAAGACTTGACACTGCCACTTTCATTTTACACTTTCTTTTACATTGTGAGCTAGAGTAGAGAGAAGGGTACCCATTGTATTATTGCAAAGTTGTTGTTTCATTTATTGCCATGCTTTATAAATTTAACATAATAAATATGACCAGCATTAAAATTTGAGTTTGAACAGAAAAACTTTAAAGTCATAATACGCCCACAATTGTTTATATATTTCAAAGTAACAGCATTAAAACTGTAAAGGGCTCATTTATTTATAGAATTCTTAAATGCCATAAAATATATTTAAATTTTCTGACTTTAAGGTTACAGAGATCTCAGAAAAATATTATCTTCATCGGGCACGGGATTAAGAACTGCCTTGCATAAAAGAATTAAGGAAAAAAAAAAAAAAAAAAAAAAAAAAACATTTAATGCAAAGTACAAAGAATAAATTTTTTAAACCCGTAAATGCTCTAATAAATTTCCATAATAATTAATAGGAAAATTTTAAAGCATTGTTCTTACCTTAGGTATGATATGCATAGCATATTTTACTTGGCACCATAAACACATTTATTCCAACTGATGCTATATTAAAGTTTTAGGAACACATATAATATCCTCGTTGTGTTATCGACGAACACATTTTTAGAATACGAGTTGCCTCAGTAATTTATATTACAGGAAAATCCATATGTACGTTTAACACATCTTAGTAAAATTTTATGCAATAGAAACTATATGCACAATATTCAACAACTTGTTCTCACAGATTTTTTAGAAACTTAATTAGGCTATTTTAGACCCTTTTTCATGAGTTTATAATTTCTCAAGTCGCAGATCCTTTGATTATAATGAGCGAATTCCCCATGATTCACCGTCATTCATTACCTTTCAATTATACACCATAACAACAAGCATTACATGATGTGTGATGTGCTACTGAAATGTGCCTTCGGCAATGCTGAACCAATACAGACTGAGAAAAATAGTTTTTTTTTCTCCGTAAATATTCAAGTCATGCAAAATTCATTATTTGAAAAAAATTAATGATTTAAAAGAATTGTTGATTATAAATTAAGTTTTGCCTAATATTAGAACTATGTAAAATCAGAATAATATCATCAACGACATCACCTGCGCTTTAACATCCCAGAAATTAGTACAGAAGGTTTGGCAACAGAAACTCTTGCTGTCGTGTAAAAAGTTAAGTTTTTCGGTATCGTTCATTTGAAGTATATTTATTAAAAGTAAAAATTATAATGCCATCTGGTAAAAAGTTGACTAAGGAGGAAGAACTCCTTTTGCAAGATTTTAGTAGAAATGTATCTACAAAATCATCTGCTTTATTTTATGGAAACGCATTTATTGTTTCGGCTATACCGCTATGTAAGTATTATTTTAGTGTATGCGTATCATTAAAAATGTGTGGAAAGTTAGAACTTAGTTGTTAATAGAAATAAATTGAAACATCGTTAAAAATAGCATCAGATTTATTCTACACAGGAGTTAACTAATATGTTAAAGTTAAATTTTTGTTGTATCTATAGGGCAATATAAATTCTTGTTATTTTACCTTTGGAATTAAATAGAGAGGACTGCTGAACTAGTGCATGAAAATATTGTCCGTTATCTGTACCTAAATTGAGTAGCTGCTGTATTTCTGTCCACAGCCCCATCGATAAAATGCTAGATCCCTATAGATATTAAGGAACTCTGTATAGGAATAAATACTACTTGAAATCTGCATGGGAAATTATGATTTGTGTCAGCAGACTGCTTTTACACACCACTCCACAGCATTCTGTACTACTTCAATGTTCTATTTGATTGTGTATTTTGCAGTAGTAAATCTGCTTATTTTGTCTCCTTTACCTATCTAAACATTTTTGTTATATATTTTTGAATCACCCTGTTTATTACACACATTTAAATTCTTTTTTACCATCACATTCTTAAAACAAACAGATATTTTTTTACTATTTGTGCTTCACTTTCAGGCATTTCAATATTTAGTAGTATTGCCATGTTTTCAATGCAACTTATATACAATAGCCAACTTATACATGCTTGCATACATTTAAATAGGCATGGATTAACAGGTTTATCATAAAATCCTTGTAAATGTATTGTTTCTTATGAAATGCTTTATCTAAACAATACATATGACCTGTAAAAATAGCCACACAAATGTTTTTCACCAATTCACTCTGTAGTGAGTTGATGACTTTTTAGAGTAGGGGGCAGATAATCAGAAAGTACTTAATTTATACTCTGTTTATATCATTCATATAAATTATTAATTTTCTAGTCTCTTTTTTTGGTTGCTTATTATTTTTTTAGTTTTTAATTAGCTTGACATATTTTAGGGCTGTTTTGGAGAATTCATCAAATGGATCCTTATCAATCAGCATTTCTGTTTGCTGTGGTGACACTCATTAGCACTTGGTTAGTTGCCTTCGCATATAAAAATGTGAAGTTTGTTTTGAAACATAAGTAAGTGTAAATTTTAATATCTGCATAATGGTTTATTTTGTTATTAAAGTGGCCACCACACTTAGTCACAAAAAATTGCATAATCATAAAATTTAATTATAAATCATAAATTTAATAATAAAATCTGTAATACAGAAATTTCAAATGATGCCAGAATCTTACATGATGGCCATTTTAAACTTTTGATGTATATGAATGTTATTTTGGCTGATCTTTAGAATATGGTAACTGGTAGTTTGGCAACATTTTGGAGGCGATAAAGGTTACTACCTGGGACTAATGTGAGCAGTACTCAGTTCCGATTACACATTATTTTGTGTGAGGGAAATGAGAGATCATGGGATATGTCGTGATATTAATGGACGAATTACGGTTCTTTAATTGTAAAAGGGGGGAAATCGGGAAAAAATCTGGAAATTTTGTATTTGTCTTTATTTTGTGTTGTGTGAAACAGTGTTCGTTAATTTTTGGATCCCATGGCTCTAACTAAAGTGAATTCGAAATGGGTATTTAGTGGGTTGAAAGGGGTAGTAATAAGTGTTTCTTTAAGGTTGCGAGATAGAAGTAAAGATGTTTTAATTAAGTTATTTATTTTACCTGGTACCTTGCTGTGAACTATAGTATGATTTTAAAGATCCTGAAACAGGCGCACATACGCTTGCTTTTTTATTTAGTGGAGGAAATAAGAAAAGTTTATCGGACACGTAATCAAGATTCTGAAGAAGATTAGGTACGTTAGTATTTTTAATTATTTGAGGATATTATTTTTATGCATTTTTTTTAATGTAAGGTGGAAGTAAAGTAATTTGGTATTATTGGGAAAATTGTTATTAGCAATGATTTAGTTTTAAAGTAATTAGGATTGTAAGCTAATTTTTATTAATTTAATGTGTGTGTGCTTATTTATATTTTAAGTAGTGTTTTTGAATTTAATTATATTTTAATTAAATGATAGTTATTTTGTGAATTTTATGTTTGTAGGAATTTGGTATATGTTTTAGTTGAAGTAAAACGTGCATGGAAATAATTTAAATATTGACGCTAAGTATTTGTAATGTTTGCGGTATGAATTCGTGGTGACGTTTATAATTAATAGATAATTTAGAGGTAAAAGTTTTTGGATATTTTATTTATTTTATACGTGGAAATGTTCATATTTGGAAAGGGTATATACTTTTTCATTATATACCTTTATCGGCTCCAAAATGTCGCCAAACTACCAGTTACCATATTGTAAAGATCAACCGTATTTTACTGTCGACTAATTTTGACCCCTCGCTAAAAATCTGTCGGTAAATGGTGGGATTTAGCACCAGTAACTGGTAAGCATGATGTTGAAACATCTTTTATCATCCGAATGTATGGAATATCATGGGAATAAAAAGTAAAGTAAGTAATTAAACAAATCTACTTAATGAGATACTTAATCAATGACTAATGTAATTACACTTCTTCATGAGCAGATAAAAAAAAGGGGGCTAGTCTAACAGAGCATTAAAACAAAGTTAGGTAGTAAATTTGATAAAGCGGACATTTTTAAACAACTTATAGTTAAGCTTTAATTAAGAATATTTGGGTTTAGTTAAGAACCAAAAGTATTCCTGAATAAAGTCTACAGTAGTTTTCTTCATAGACATGCAAAAATTTGATGGTTTTATCAATGAAAATGATGAAAATAGTGATGAATACAAAAAGGGCCAAGTTGAAATAGGGGATGCTAATTATAAAGAAATATTATATATAAATCTATATGTACTACACTCATAAATTATAGATTTGGAAAATGATATCTGCCTTTGCAGTTTCCTTGGCTGATGAATTTTAAACCAGTAGGAGTAATCTATGATGCATATACTTAGTTTCACATAAAACTTTGGAGATCCTTTGTAAGTCTAGTGATGGTTATTATTAGTGTTAAAATAAGCTGTTGCATTCTTTGAACAGAGCTTCAAGAAGCTGTTGCACTTCTTGATCAAATTCAGCTCTTTTTTTTGTAACCTAATATATTTTATGACAAAAAATTTCTTGGAGAATAAGTATTGAAGTATAATAATAATGACAGATGTCATCCTCTTCTTATCAAAACTGAGAAATAATAACTTAAAAATAAGAATAAATATGTATAATTTAGTTACTGAAAAATTTATTTGAAACTTAAATGCTGTTTTTTTTACCCTTTCCTTGTATAATGTGATGTATTCTAAAGAATAATGGCATTTCTCCTTTTGTGTGACCTTATACTTTTGTGGCAGCATATCCTGTTAGCAGTCATAATATCTGTGTTAAATTTTGGTTGATCTTTACAATATGGTAACTGGTAGTTGGCGACATTTTGGAGGCGATAAAGGTTACTACCTGGGACTTTGGTAATAATGTGAGCAGTACTCAGTTCTGATTACGCATTATTTTGCGTGAAGGAAATGAGAGATCATGGGATATGTCATGGGATATTAATGGACGAATTACGGTTCTTTAATCGGAAAAGGGGGGGGGAAATCGGGGGAAAATGTGGAAATTTTGTATTTAGCTTTATTCTGTGTTGTGTGAAACAGTGTTGTTTAATTTTTGGATCCCATGGCCCTAACCAAAGTGAATTCAAAATGGGTATTTAGGCATTGTGATAAAGAGAAGTTTGCTTTTTATTTAGCGGAGGAAGTATGGAGGAAAAATTCGCAGAAAAAATCTTTCAATAATTTTATTGAATGAATTAGAAAAGTGTATCCGCCACGTAATCAAGATTCTGAAGAAGATTAGGTAAGTTAGTATTTTTAATTATTTGAGGATATTATTTTTATGCATTGTTCTAAATGTAAGGTGGAAAGGAATTTGGTATTATTGGGAAAATTGGTTATTAGCAATGATTTAGTTTAAAGTAATTAGGATTGTAAGGTAATTTTTATTAATTTAATGTATGTGCTCATTTATATTTTAAGTAGTGTTTTTTGAATTTAATTATATTTTAATGAAAATGATAGTTATTTTGTGAATTTTTCTGTTTGTAGGAATTTGGTATACGTTTAAGTTGAAATAAACGTGCATGGAAATAATTAAAAATATTTGTACTAAGTATTTGTAATGCTTGCGGTATGAAATTCGTTTTGGTGACGTTGTATAATGTAATAGATGATTAGAGGTAAAATTTTTTTGGATATTTTATTTATTTTATATGTGGAAATGTTCGTATTTTGTAAAGGGTAAAGTACTTTTTTTTCGCGATCAGGTAATTTCGATATGTTCTTTTTACCGGGTTTAAAGATTGAGAAAATTGTCATGTATTTTCGTGAAATTTTTCTAATTTATGAGAAAAAAGCAGTGTACATGGATATAGTGAAGAGTGTGCGCAATGCCATTTTTGTGCAATTCTGGGATGTTTTTTTAAGTAAAAATAAGTCGGCGTGTACATGGTTTATGTGTATGTGTTATTTTGAAAAATGCATAAGGAGAATGGTATTGTGCAGTTTTTCCTAATTTTGCAGTGAATATTTGTCATGATTAAGCAGTTTTGTTTGATAAAATTTCTAGCATAAGTGTAATTCGGCTAGTAGATTGTTGGAAGAAGTGTTCAGGAGATAAAAAGAAAAGAAACATGTCTTTACTTCATGAAGACAAAATGGCAGCGAGTAAAAAAAAATAGAGGGTTGCTGTAGGAGAGTTGGTTGCCAAATTTTCGCCAAAAAATCGCCAAGTTCCCATAATGTAAAGATCAACCTAAATTTTTAGTGAAAATGCGGTTAATTTTTCATGTTTTGAGCTCTATAGCTTAAGAGTCGGTATAATATGAGCTAATTTTCAGTACTTACACATTGATGCAATTGCCTTAGTAGAAGTTGTCTAAGAGTCTGTATAATATGAACTAATTTTCAGTACTTACATATTGGTGCAAACTGCCTTAGAAGAAGTCGCCAAATTTTCAGAATGTGCCAAATTTTGGCAACCATGTACATAATAATTATTTAGTCTTACAAGCAATGTTATCGTCTTTTATGCTTCTTGTATTCAAAGTTTCAATGTCTTTATAGTCATGTAATGAATATTTGTTGTCCTAAAGAAGTAGAAGAAACTGATATACTTTTCTGTTAGAAACCACATTTATAAATGTATGTATGTATATATGTACGTATGTATGTACACACAAAAACACATTCATACATGCATGCATACACACACACATGCATACATACATTTATGAATCCAGTCCAAATAACTACCTTAAAAAATTGCTAAAGATAATGATTTCTTTAAATATATTCTTAGAGTGCTCATAATAAAATTTTCATCAGAAGAAAAGCAACAAAATCCCATTTGTAATTAAGTTTATGTAGTGATTTTTGAGGTAAATATCGAACAGTTAGCTTATGATTAAGGGTGCTCCTTGGATTATTGTGAAGTTTTTAATTTATCGCTAAGTTGTTGTTTCATTTATGGTAACCCGAGTCGTTGAATGTGATGGAAAACCTATTATGATTGGTTGCGGTGAATTTGACTGATGGGAAAGTATTTGTTGGATGTCAGTTAGGAAGTAAGTCGTGTATTGTGTGCTTGTGCAATTTTCTGATTTTTTTTTAAAAATTAAAATAGGTTGATGTGTACATGGGCACTGAGTTTGTGCAATTCTTTGACTTGTTATTTTGGCTTTGTGTAGCAGCCAAAATAACAAGTCAAAGAATTGCACAAACTCGATGTCTATGTACTGTTAAAAGTTGCCAATTGTCGTCAAGGGGCACTTGTAAATATATTTTTACCTATCGAACTGAGTGCAAAATATATGTATAATAAATTGTATGTATGTAACACATATATATATTTCCGATTATAAGTCATAATTTTTATTACATATTGCCATATGTGCTAAAGTGGTTGCACTAATACATGAGAACTTGGTTTTCTGTATAAAGTTCTCCATGAAAGCATGCCATAAAATGTAGAGGGATATTAAATTCTTGGTGATAAATATTGCAAAGAAACCTAGTCGATTTATTCTTTGTGCTACCACAAGAACAAATGAGCTTATGTCAGCAGATTCTTGTAGTTAACATCTTGGACTGCTAATTATGTAGAGAAGAGAAAATAAGCTATCCTATGTACATTTTAAGCAAAATGCGTTTGCAAAAATTGCCACAAAAAAGAAAGTAAGATTCGATAGAAAAGGAATCAAAGAATGAGTAGAATATCAGGTACTATTCCGTTTTGAGGATCGTAAAAAAATTGCAGCAAAAGTGTATGCGCAAAAGCGCCAAATCTAGAAAACGCGCCCATTTAAACAGCGTGCCAAATCTAGCATACGGGCTGATTTCAGATTGCGTAAGTTTATATAGTTCTATTTCTTAAGACACCATTGAAATACTATTTTAATTTTTAAATCCTTTTTTGATTTTAAATCCTTTTTTGATATCCTGTGGATTTAGCAATTTGGGAATTGCCCATGACAAAAAGTCTGCAATAGAATTTTGGGTAAAGTGCAGAATCACCCATTGCTTGATGCATTTTTAATTGCACATACTCGGTATCCATGTACACATCGACTTATTTTCACTTTAAAAACAAATCCAAGAATTGCACAAAAATGGCACTGCGCACACCTGGACTTTATCTATGTACGCATCGACCTATTTACACTTCAAAACTAAAAGATAATTGACAAAAGTCCAATTGTTTTTACCCTTGTAAAAACTGGCAATCCAATAAGTGGGCGATTCTGCACTTTACCGAGAATTTTTTCAAAGAAAAGGCATTATTCATTATCAAAAATTATGTTTGAACAACCAGCAAGATGAAATTATTCTTAAGCAATAACTCGGTAGCGAAATAGCGATGCAGACATTCATTCAGTTATGTTTAGCAATTTTTATATAAATTATAATAATGATCTGAAATAGTTATTCACTCTTAAGGCCCGTCTACACGTAGCGATTTTCTCGGTCGACTTAGCTGGCCGACAATATCTAAGATAGCTCGTCTGTCCACACGGAACGATTTTCTTGTTAGTACAGTAATTCACTCAGTCAATCACTGTGAAAGGAAGTCCCGCGCTCTACAGCGTCACACTGTCTACAATTTGTAAACAAAGTTTACGGTGTTGTCAAATAATCAAAATAATGGATGACTGTACTTTAAATTGCTACTATAGATACAGCTACAGTTTTGAACTTGGCTACTGCTACAGAAGGGAAAAAAAAAAAGAAAATGCCTTTGGAACAGAAATTGGGTCAAACAACGAGAAATTCATGGTGCCTTCGTAATACCTTGCTTCGGGAGTTGCGTATTGAAGACAGGTACAATTCAGAAAGTATTTATGGATGATGCCGCATGATTTTGATTTTTTGCTATTTAGTTTGCAGTAAAATTTTGAAAAAATATGCATTTCCTTTGTGTACTGAGTACATAGATTACTCCTTTTTTATTTTGTTTATTTAATTTATTTTTAAATTCATTTTCTGACACTCTTATTTGTGCACTTAAATCTTGAAATAATAAAATAACCATGTTTCAGAAAAAAGTAACTATTGTGCTTTAAATCAAAACCTTTATTAATGAATAAATAGACAATAATGTCATGAATATCAAACCAGTATAAGTAAAAAGTAGTAATAAAGATTAAAGATTACTACATTACAAAGCAACATTGTTATTTCAGTGAAAAATTTAAAATAAGAAATATCATAAAGGTAGAAAATATCATAGTCTTAAGTAGTATATTTATTGAACATTAAAAAACTAATATCAGCTTAACTAATACAGTCTGAAAATTATGATCATATAACTCTATCAGTTAATTAGCTAATAAAATTTAGCAATATTGTATAAATTGGGCTGTAATTTGTTTTTGCAAAAATCAATTAAGACAAAACTGAGTTTGTGACTTTCTTTTGAGCTGGTATGCAAGTACCAAAGTTTTCACCAGTAGATCTAAAACAAGTGCCAATGGCCATTCGAAAAATAAAAAGAAAGGCTTTAAAATTCAATAAACAGCACACCCATAGGCGAAAAAATAAAAAGTGTCTTTTAAGTCGTGCAGTTCGAATTTAGTGATGGAGAAACAAAATTAAAATGTCCTTGCAGGCGCAGAAAGTCCAAAATTAAGGTGGGGATCGAACCCATGATCTGGATGTATGGAGGAAACCTGCTCTGGTCTTTACTACTGGGAGTGATCGCTCGTGTAGGAGGTGTCGGAAAAGCTATGTACTTCGTCACTGATTAACTCCCATTTTCGCCGAAGTCAACGAGTCTCTGCACTGCTTTAAATCGGCCCGTAATTTCTCAACTGGAGATTTTGTTTTCTGAATTTTTTCAATAAGTGTGACCACAGTTTCAAGTAGTTTCTGAATATTTTCATTTAGTACTCATGATGTGGCATCATTAATAGTTTTTGGAACTTTTCTTGGGGGAGTTAAAATAATTTTCACCCCGAATAGAAAATATTTGAATATCTTAAGTAATGAAGACAAAGCTTACAAAATAAGAGGTCCCTTAATTTTTTATCTTTAAAATTTACATTACTCGTGTCCCACAACACAACATTTTCTCTATAGAAATCTATTAGTTGAAAAATTTGAGTTTCACTCCAACGAAATGCAGCCATGTTTATTATTCCAAATGAGGAGAAAAGCACGTGATCACTCAAAGCAATCTTATTGGCTAGAGACTCCGATTTTATCGTACACTAGTGAGCAGTGAACACCAGTTCTGAAATCGCGGCAGAGAACATGACCAATTTCTGGCGCATGCGCACATCCTTAAAATTGTTGCTCTACGAGAAAGTCGGCCGCGAAAATCGCTTCGTGTAGATGGGCCTTTATGCTTCCATTCAGTCATGTTTAGCCTTTTTTACATAAATTATAATAATAAAAAAAGTATTATATGAAATTAGCTTTTCATCTAAATTAAAACATCAATCTTAAGTAGTTATTTACTATTATACTTCCTTTCTTGCGTTAGGGTTGCCGCAATAATTTTTGGCAGCACTGGTATCAACAATAGTTTGGCGATTTTTTACGGCCCTCAAAACTGAATAGTACTGAATATCATTTAGATAAGGTGTGAGAAATGGACTGTTGAGTTTATCAGTTTTTAACTCTGTATTATTAGAGTCGTGTAATGGAAGAAGGTAATGTAATTTTTTTTAGATTTAAGTTCATGAATAAAAAATTGAATCTTGCTGAAGCAAAAGCAAATCTTTTGAAATATTTTTAGGAGTCATAATAGATTTTGGTTCATTATATAAATGAAAATATGAGTGGTGCATTCTATGAGTTTTCAAATAAATTATACGTGAAGAAAGTTTACAAACTTTTAAATGGATTATTATTTAAAAAGTACTGTTTGTAATCTTAAATTTTTGAATTTTTGTAATCTTATCTTAAATGTTTAATGATGAAATATTTGTAAATTTAAATTATGCTTTCTAGAATTGCTGTTAAAAGAGAAGAAGCTGTATCACGCGACATTATGAGAACTTTGGCAGATGATAAAAAAATGTCAAAGAAGGAAAAGGATGAGCGGTAAGATTAGTAATTTTTATCATTTTATAAAAAAAAAAAAAAAAAAAAAAATATATATATTAAAGTATTATAACTGGTTAATAATTATTCAAGTTCTTTCTGGTTATCTGCACCTCTGGTGTGAAAATTCATCTGAATTCCCATGTTTTGCATATATATTTGAGCGTATATGCAACAGCAGCCAACCCATGCATGTGCATATCACACATGCATTTGAGTACATGGGTATTTACAAGCTTTATATGTAACTGAATGGGTTTTTGTGTGACAACGGTCAACCCATGTGTATGTGTATCACACATGTATTTATGTATATGTGCATTTACACATCTTACATTTAACCAAAGAGTATTCATGACAGTAAACTCGGCCATATAGATTTTGTTCACTTATAAATTTTCATGTTTTTTATTAAATGTTTATTGTTATTATTATTTAGGAGCAGAACAATATCTATGAGATGTAAAATAGCAAAAGAAATGTTTTTTCATCAGTTCACAAAAGTCATTAATGAATAACTGTACATGGGGGTGCAGATAATCAGAAAATACCATTCTTTAAACTGTATTTGACATCATTTAAAATTTTTTAAAACAATTCCTAACAAAAAGAAAAAAAGTGTTATTATGTAAATGTGTTTTCAATTAAATATTATTTTAAATTTAAGAAAATGGTATTTCTACAAATGAAAAATGTCTTATTAGCTATACCTGATTTTAATTATACTTATGTCAGATTCTTGAAGCTGTGCTCTTTCTCACAGGAAGGGATTTTTTGAATGTGCTTTAGCATTTTTGTGAAAAATGTCAAATCTTCCATCTTTATGTTGTATTCCTCTATCAGTTTGGGTACTTTTTGGAGTTTTGAAATTAAGTTGACATCAAGATATGGCATAATTAATGTGCTGTAGGAATTTGACTGTTGAGATAATGATGGAAATTTTGTACTGCCTTTAGAGTAGTTAGTAATTCTTTCCTGGTTACAATAATTTCTTTCCAGTGTTGAGGAACTTTTATTGAAGTAGGCAATAATGTATTTTTAACCATCTATTTATTGTGAAAGAATTGCTCCATTTCTTTTAGTGCTGCCATGTATACCTGAGATGAAAGTTTTCTACTGCCGTGATTGCTTGTATTTTCCCCCCCTCGTCATATAGTAATTTCTATCCAGTTTTTGCAAGCTTTTTATTTCATTGGTTAATAATGTTTTCTGAGCTATCTAATTTTTGTCAAAATTTTTTTTTCACTTCCTTCACTGCTGGCACTGAGATTGAGAATAAGTTTCATTTGGATATCTTTGGATTTTATTTCACTGGTGTCAAAATTATAATATTCTGTAAAATTTTACCTCTCAAAACTAATACAGTCAAAAGTCGTTAATCCGGACTTGTCGGGACTTCGGCGATTCCGGATTATCGATTTTTTCCAGATTATAGATCATGAGTTAAATCTGGTAAGATGGCATGCAGAAATTACAAAATTAAAAATATGAAACCGTAATTTATGAAATAAAGAACAATTATGATCTAAAGGGTATCAAAATTTACAAAAAGAAAAAGCTTAATATTTGTTTGTTTACTTTATAAAACATTTCTTTCAATGTAAGTTGTTTAAGTTGCTTCGTTTTTTATGTGATAATACATTCTCTTTAATTCTATAAACAGACATAATTTCTTGTTCAGTTACAAAGTTCCACTGTTCAAGTCCTATAATTGCTGTGTCTACCGACTAATTTGTCAATCGAAATTTTTTCGTTTTCAATAACCTCTGTTACTTTCTTTGCTATCGGAAGCGAATTATAATGACAAGGAATTTGATTTAAATTATATCAAAGACGGAGTACATCGAGATGAAATACTACATTTAGTAAAAATTATAAGCCAAATAAAATAAAAACATCTGCCCTGAAGTTAAGGATAGTGCTGACAGATCAACTTCCAATTGATAGTGCGCCCGCCCGCCCATTGCCACGTTAAAGTTTAGATAAACAAAGGATATGCCTTTATCCAAATTTTGCAGCAATTCCACTTTTTGTTTAATGAACTTCGAAATATACTTTCGCTTTGTAAATCCTTTACATATTAGTAAATATATATCAGAAATTCTATTTGACATAATTGAAAGTTCAAGCTTACTTTTATAAAACTGCTCTAACACTTTGCAAAAAATAATAAGCCGGATCCAATTAAAAAATTAAGGAACAATGCAATCTGTACATTAGCTGAAATAGATAATTAGATAATTTTAGCTTAGCTGAAACCGTCCGTTATACATTAAACGCGCACTTGTAAACGTATTTTGCGCACGCGCACAAACATATCCGCAGCCGTAAAGGTCTTGCGCGCATGTGTCAACGAGGACGCATGCGCAGAAAGTTTGTAGCTTTGAGGTCCGGATTATAGATCATTCCGGATTATGGGTGTCCGAATTAATGACTTTTGACTGTATATGTTTTTCATTAAAATATATAAAATTATTTTATCTAATTGAATCTTATTAAATCTTTTGCACATAGGGTGTCATTCTTGGTTGGGTGCTCAGCACATTGTGGTAACAATCGACAAAATTAAAAATTCCATCAGTGATGTTTTTATTAAAATTTAACCACAGATTAGTAAACTTTCATGCAATTAACACTTACTTAGTGATAGTGCAAGATTTCTGCCTGTGTGTATAATTATTTGAATGGTGCAAGTTTTTGAAAAATGTAAAGGTGTTATATTATCATTATACAACCATGAATAATATCTTTTATAAGCAATATATTAATGCAAAATTTTGGATATGTAATTTAATGATTAATGTATTGTATCTTGAAATTTACAGTGGTTTTGAAATGTGCGTTTTTTCTCTCAGCTTGTAATATTTCAGGGTTAAAAAATTCAGATTAATGTTGACATTTTCCATATTTTTTCTTGGAAGTGCACTCTAATTTTGTTTTATATTTGCTGAAATTTAATTATCACCTATTGATGAACTTTAAAAGTCCAGTAATAAAGAATAAGTGAAACAATTCTTGATTTAATACTCTTTTCCCTTCTTGAATGACTGCAATAAGAAAGGACTACTGAGAGCTGCGTTTTAATTACAGTTAAAAAAATTACATAATTGGAATAATTTTTGCAAGCCTGGGGGTTTAATCTCTTTTATTGACATTATGTACCAATAATATATGGTTTTGTTTGACTTAAGCATTAAAAGTAATCTTTACATTTTTTAAATGATAACGGAATATCCTGCATATAGCTAGATGCTTGTTTCTAAAGGAGTTGTGAGGATTAGCTGAGCCCATCTAGCATTTACCCATGTTATCACCAAGGATGTTATTCAGAGTGCCTCTCAGCGGTGATCAATATTATAGCTATGAAGGTGGAAGAAAAGACTGTATATTATACTTTTTGCCACCTGTTGCAAATGCCACACTTCCTAAATTCTGCTGCTTGGTTCCTTTTTAAATTTTAAAAATGTTGCTGCCCCTGAATTCGGCCACTCCATGCAGTTGCACTGATTGCACATGTGCTGGCACCGGCCTTGCATACAGACACACCATATGTGGAAATTTGTTCCAATCTTTATTTCGGGTTAGAAGTCAGATTTTTGCTAATCTCAGTACTGTGCATAAATGGAATTGAAAATACTATGTCTTTATTTTTTTGTATGGTTTCCCATGTTCAGTTTCTTGACACATTCAACATCGGCTGGATTTTGTTTAAAAAGAGGGAGGAGTTTTCCCTGGCTGCATAGCTGTTGGTGGCTGTCATCAGTGTATATCATTATTTTTCATGAGCATCTCCTCAGTGGTTCCCTTTTTGAGGCATGCAGTTATATAAGTCAACCAGAATAATACACAGCCTTCTTTAATATTGACTCCTATATCTTGATGAATATTCTGCAATTTTATTTTTCACCTTTAGCAATAAAATTTGGGTAATTCCTTTTTTTGGCTGTGTGTCATCTAGGCTCTGATTACTGACATTATCGTATTGTAATGTTGATGATACCACAAGCAGGGGCATTAGTTATAGGCTGTTAAATATGTCAGTAGCCTTATTATTTTATTTTTGATTGTACTGTTCAAAGACTAATTTAGCTGTCCCTCATACATTTTGATTTTAGAATGGCTGTATAATTAAGAGCATGTATTATATATACAGTAGTGGCCAAAATTGTGGACACTTTTGGAAATTTTTATGTTTTTGAACTTTGTATGCTTATAGAAAATGTTACGTTTCGCAAAATGCAAACTTGTATATATCATTTTAAAGAGAATTTATTACTGAATTCAATACAAAACACAAAATTCAATTATTTGCAATACAAAAAAAAGTTATACGTACTTTAATATAAATAAAAAACACAGTTATGAAGTGGAATGTAATGTCTAGCTTTCCTGGCCAATCACTGTTCTTGTTCTGAGAACCAATCAAATGTTAGTAACTGCCAGTAGAAGCCAACATCATGCTTACACTTGAAACAATTCATTATTTTGCTTTGTTCTGTAGAAGGAGAACCTGTTTCTTATACACTGCAATTACAAGTAGGAATTTTTGTAAAAATTTTTAATATTTAGTCAAGAAGCAATGACATCAAATAAAAGAGTAGATTGGACACCTAGAAAGAGATGTAATATTATTGTGTTACGAGAAAGTGGTCTTTCCTATGCTGAAATTGCAAGAGAGGTGGGTGGTTCAGTGACTACATCTGGAGTCCGAAAGTTTTGTTTACAATAGGAGACAAATTCAATAAAAAACAAAGAAGGAAAAGGCCGAAAAAGGTGCACCAAATCTATTGATGACAGAAGAATAAAAAGACTATGTCTCCAAGATAGAAAAGTGTCATCAGCGGCCATCAGAAGTGATCTGAATGATGCTGGTGTTTCTGTCAGTTCAAGAACAATCAGGAGAAGATTAACAGATGTTGGACTGAGAGGTAGAATTCCACGAAAAAAGCCTTATCTTAATTTTCAGCAACGAAAAAAAAAAAGACTACAGTGGGCAAAAGAACACGTTAATTGGACAGATGATCAGTGGTCACAAGTTATATGGAGTGATGAAACTAAGATATCGTTATTCGGTACTGATGGGTGAAAATATGTAAGACGTAGAATAGAAGAAGAGCTACATCCTGACTGCATTCAAGCAACTGTGAAGAACCCAGTTAGTGTTATGATTTGGTCATGCATGTCAGCAGATGGTATTGGTCGCCTTCATGTCATCGATGGGACACTGAATGCCAGAAAATACATTGACACTATTCTAGAACCAAAACTTCTACCTTCCATCAGAGATCTCTTTCCCAATAATGCTTCATTTATTTTTCAACAGGATTCTGCTCCTTGCCACACGGCCAAAATATCGAAAGAGTGGTTTCATACAAAGAGCATTAAATTATTGTCATGGCCAGGAAACGGTCCTGACGTCAATCGTATCAAAAATTTGTGGCACCGTTTGAAAACTCTTGTCCGAATGAGGCGCCCATCAAATAAAAGGGAACTAATTGAGGCTATAATTCTTTCCTGGCATCATGTAATAACGAAAGAAGAGCTTAAAACTCTTGTCAGCTCAGTGAAACTTCGATGTGAAGCTGTAATAAAAAAAAAGGGTACCCTACTAAATACTGATAACTCACTGCAATCATCACTATCTAATGTATATCAATAACTATTATTGTTTAACTTTTTTTATATTGCAAATAATTGAATTTTGTGTTTTGTATTGAATTCAGTAATAAATTCTCTTTAAAATGATATATACAAGTTTGCATTTTGTGAAACGTAACGTTTTCTATAAGCATACAAAGTTCAAAAGCATAAAAATTTTCAAAAGTGTCCACAATTTTGGCCACCACTGTATATGTAGGATTTAGTTGTATTTATGAACTATAGGAACAATCCTATTGATGACAACGGTAGTTATATTTAGTAATGACGAAAATATGTTAACATAATTAACATGGAGTTAACATATAAAAAGAAATAAGAAGAAAAAAGATCTGTCCATAGCATTATAAAAACAAAATAACATCATATTAAGTGAAATCACATCATAAAAGAAGTTCAGTTCTTTTGGTTTTTCAAACTTCATAATCATTCCCATATAGCTTCTGATCTGCCAAGTGGTCACATGATCTTGCTGGTGAGCGCTTTGCCATTTTTAGATGTAGAAGGAAACTTATAATCACACACACATATGAGAATGTATAAAGGAAAAATTATCTCCTATGAAAGGTGAAATGTTCATTAAAAGTGAAAATTCATTAAAGGTTTTCTGTATATGTATAGACATATATTTTTCCAGAATTTTAAGTTTTCATTACTTTTCCCAGAACTTTTGTTTTGAAGTTAAACATTAGGTGAAACTTGGATTTATTCACTATTGATTTATTTGCTATTATAGTTACAGATTGTATAGGAAAAAAATATTTTAATCTACCACTTTTGTAATCATTTGTTGTTATTTAATGCATGTTTATCTGTGTTTTAATGATAATTATATTATTGTGAGTAAGTTTACTTGATATTCATTAATATTTGCAATATCTTTGCATTGACTGTAAGAATTTGCAGCAAATATTTTCAGTAACTGTGTGCAAGAATTTAGATAATGAAATTTATTTTATTATTCTTATTTTTTTATTATATATTGTAAAAATTCTGATTTTTCTTAATTTAAGAAAATGTTTATAATTTCAGAATCCTGTGGAAAAAAAATGAGGTTGCAGATTATGAAGCAACAACTTTTTCTATATTCTACAATAATGCTCTATATTTGATGTTGATAATTTTGCTGTCATTTTACTTCTTGCGTTCATTTGCATCCAGCATGTATCCTTTCTAGAATATTTACACTTAATGTGTTTATTTTTATTATTTTTATATAATGTTTTGTTGGTACTTTGATTTTCCAACCATGGCATCTAATTTTTCATCAAGCCAAGATGCAAGAGACAACAGCCATTTTCAAAAATGGTGGCTTACTAAGAATTGCATAAAACAATAACCTATTAACAAAGTAAAAAATGCACGAAACTTTCATAGTAAGCCATTTACCCCACCTTTTTCTCTTTTGCACTATTCTCTGCATGTGTAGAGTGATCTGTTTTATCTGCAAAAAATATCAGAGACTTACAGACATTCGGTATCGAGCACAACTTGGCACTGCACACATTGTTATTCTCCCAGTGTATGTGAGGATCTCTTTTGGCATTGCTCACACTACTTTTTTTCCCATGTGACACTGATCTATTTTTACTTAAAAAAATTGAAGTATTGCACAAGTTTGCCATCGATGCACAAATTTTGATCCATTAAATTCGATTATGTACAGAGTACAACTTTGTGGAATGCAAATTTTTTCATTCGCTATTGCTAGGCAAAATGTAATATTTCTGGTGGGGATGCAATCCCACTATGATTCCTTACAAAGGGGAGAAAAAATTCACTTGGTGCAACAAAAACAAACTTTAATGATCGTCAAATTTGAAGATGGAAATTGACCCATTTGCTGTGCACATGCACATGGTTGTCATATAAATGCAATAAGTATATTTTGGCAATGCCATTTGTTTTCTGTTTTGGTGACACAGTTTGTTGCCTCATGAATACGTTTCAGGGGTCAATGGACAATCAGAAAGTACTTTTTTTGTCTGTAACACGTATAGTTTATGTAATATATAATGTTTTCTTTTTTATTATGAAATATTTTATACCTTTTAAAATGAATGTATACTATTTAGTAAGTGGATGCTATATTTTAAAATTTCGGTGTTTTGTTACTTTGCCATAACTATTTATGACCAATCAAAGAAGACATCTTAACATAGATAATTCACCCTGGATTCAATTCCTTGCCAAAGAGGTTAGGTGCATGGTATTTTTAGGGTTCTCTCTATGTGTAATGTGAATGCAGATTAGTTTATCTTAGTTTTTCTAAGGCAGATAGTCTATATATTGCGTTGCTGTAATTTATTAAAAGCCACTTTACCAGCTTATATTTTATTAAAGCACTATAAAATAATTAAAACTTTGCTTTTTTTTTTTTTTTTTTCATTTACATATGTTAATTGTGGTTTTCTTTACATATACACGTGGTTGGCAAAAGAGCATCAATGCAGATATTTACATTATAAAACTACTATTATAGTGTAAGTAATTCATACTAGTGGCAGATGCAGAGAGTGTCCTCTGTTATATAATCATATGGTTTAATATATGAAAATTAATACAGTTTTAAATGTATCGGTATTAACCTATTGTCAATTACAATAACCTTACAAATGAATTATAATAGAATTGCTTAAGCTTTGATGAAACAAATTTATAGCAATTAAAATAACAGACCTGTTCATTATTTAGTGAAGAATTTTAAAAATTCATAAAGAATAAAGTGTGCAACCAGTACTTTGAAACAGAGGTCAATTCATTAAATACTTATCTGTCATACTTCATAAAACATTTGTTCAATTTTGCCTGAACAAGAGACACCTGTGCCTCTCTAGGAAGATGCCTCTCATCTGCTCCTCTCTTAGATATATTGAAAAGTTGGCCACAGTTAAAAGAATGATTCAAATGGTGAAAAAAAATTCTTGTGACAAGATGCTTGTCCAGCTCATTATCTCAATGAATGACCATTTGTGAGAATACCTAAGCCTAAATTTGTACAAAAATAACATATTAATGTGCTAACCATTCCAATCTGAGGATTTAATCCCATGTGACATTTTCTTGTCTTTACAGCTGTATCATTGATGCTGATGATGGCTTTGGTTGATTGTAGTATACCGTCATGTGCAAGACAAAACAGATTATTGCATATTTTCCTGCCATTTCAATGTAATGAAATTTGGTATAAATTGTATAATTTGATATGAAGGTACTTGCGTATTATTTGCAACCATCTTAGTAGAAGTAGCCAAATTTTAAGAAAGTGCCAAACTCTGGTAACCATGCACATAACAATCGTTTCAGTCAAGCAATGCCGATATATTTGTATGCATTCTTTTATGTTGTATCCCCTTTAGTTTTAAAATATGAGCTTGTGGAATTTGCCAGCAATGGAAGGAACTATGTTAAAATGTAGGCAGTAATACAGAATTTTGTTGAAAATTATCTAAAGGGAATAATGAGGAAATGCATTTTCTAGATAGGTGCTATTACCGAAGATTGCACGAAGCTGAGTTTCTACAATTCTCTGATTTCTTTTTAAATGAAAACAGATCTCTGTATACTTTAGGAGAAGAATAATGGGGGGAGGGAGAGAAAGGTTCAAAGAAGAATGCAAGCGTTTTTTTTTTTTTAATGTAGAATATAACCCTTATTTAATAATTCAAATTTGCAATTTAAATTGCTAAAGTATGTTTTCTTCCCCCTATGTTGATATTATTTATCAAACTTGCTATACTATAAATATCGATAGTTTAGGAATCTTTCTAAAAAGACACGAAACCACCAACTTGCACATGCTAAGTAACTTTTAAATTTTCATCCATAAAATTCACCAAATTGCACCAAGATGGTTGCGATAGTTAGTACATAAGTACTGATATGAATTAAAAAAAATATTTCATGGAATTTTGAATAACCCTTAATGTTATGGGATATAATACTATTCAAATGATGCATATTAGTTTTACCTTAAATACATTTCAAACAATGTATATTGAGCTTATGAGAAAGGTAGCAACTGCAAGAAACTTTTCACTGCTTATTTTCAGATAAAATTCTTTTTGTATAAAGAACATTTTAAAATTTTGTCATTTGCAAAGTAATTCAGTTTTTGTTTCCTTTATTTATAAAAACTGTATGTTCAGCCATTAGTATTTTGCATTCCTACTTGAATTTGTCAAATGTTTATCAATAATATTATTACTTAACAGTTTCTTCAGAAATTATGTGGTCTCAGTTGGAGCTGCAGGAGGATTATTAGCTCTCTTCTCTACCAGTTCAAGTTAAAAGCATATTTATTTCATTGTTTTGTAATAAAATAAACGCTCAATTTCATCTTGTCTAAATTTTTTTAAAAAAGGAGAAACATCCATTCAAATAATCATATTGTTTTCTAAAGGCTATTTCAAGTATAGAGTTGAGCACACTTATTATGATGTCTGTTTTAGTGAATTTAACCTTTTCAACCAAAACACCCGAGACAGCATTTCATTCAAATGACCCCAACCATCTGAAACGGCCGCAATTGTGATGTTATTTTCCTTCCTACCCTTAAGGTATGCAGTAGCACGTGAAGTTTCCCCAAATCCATTGTATCAGTTTATTGCAGACGCTTGTCCTCAAAGGATTTATTTGTGGTTTCTTATCTTTATTTGTTAGGAAGTACTAAGGTGTCATTTGAAATCTTCATTCCTCGTTTAAATTTCCCACCTCGTTCTGAATCATGTTAATGCATGGGGAGAGCAGGAAACTGCTGTGAATCTCAAAAGACATTTCAGCAGCTTCGGTATTTTAAGCATACAGGCTAGCAAAGTCTTCGGTTTTCTAAGAGTTAATGTCCCATGAGTTTTATCATAAAATATAACACTTATTCTTCAATGTTATTATCTGTTTTATAAAACATTGGTTGGCATTCTTTTAAACACCATGAAAGAAACCTTTTTGAGATGTTTATTGTTTTCATTTTATGAATATCACATAGTACCAGAATAGTAGATACTTAAGAGAAATATTTGTTGCAGACCTCATGTGCAAGTAATGCAGTAAAATAAATGTACAGTTACATCTTGAATATATATATTTTTAACTAAGTGTACAAGTCTCCATATAACAGTAATTTATGATGAAAAAATATCACAGCAATTATTTCCTGCAATTTCAAACATTCATTTTCAATATAAAATTTCATATTTTGCATCTTTAATCTCTTTTATTAATTATTTAACTTGTAACTTCTTTGTGTAAAGTTATATCAAATGTTAAACCGATACCTGCATACTCAAACTGCAATTTCTTTTTATTTTTTTATTTAATTTTGAAAACATTTTTTATAACTTTTTTGTCACTTTAATTGTAAATTCTTTGAGGTGTTAAAAATAAAAACTGTGATTTTTCAGATGGCATTTTTTAAAAAAATATTCTCAAAATTTAACTGGCAGGTAGTGTGGCTCTATGTGTACGTGTTAAGCCCAAACACATGCACGATTTTCTTATTTCTGTTTTCTGCCCATAGTCTTATTGAATGAGAAATAAAATCATTTTGGCTATCTTACTACTATACTGTACTAAACATATATTTGTCTTATACACAATACTATACTAAACATATATTTATCTTGATGCCAAATGAGTTCCAATAAGCTTTTTCCTCAGAAATAGTGAGAGGGCAAAAAAGAGAAAAGTTAAACAGTACTTAACAGTTTTTTTTTTTTTTTTTACACTGTCACATTACTTTATTTATGTGTATTTTAATTCTTAGTTTGAAGTCGTGTTATTAACTAACTACACACATATTATATAAAAAGTGTTTGATTATAGAGTATCTCAAAATCATAAATATTTAACTTTGAGGTCATGTGCAGATTTGAATATAGTGTTAGAGAGAGTTTCTAAATTCAGAAGGATTTAATTCGAGAAAGAAATTCTATTCATATTTATTCCCTCACCATAAGGATACTTCATATCTTTTTTTATTTAAAGGAATTAAGGCTGAAAATTCCCCTTTTTACATTGTTTAATCCAATGGTTAAGATTTAAGACAGTATAGAATATGAAAATTTGGAACCTGTTATAAATTTGTTACAAGAAGTATTAAAACTCCTTTTGAAATAATTTACAAAATTATATTTGTTACACAGTAAGAGAAAAAGATATAGCTACCATAGATGAATATTTGCTAAATACACATGTTGTTATGAAAATATAAACTCTAATTTTATTTATAATGGTAATAAAATTGTTTTAATTAGTGCTTCATTTGAAAATCTTTGTCAAAATGAATAATGTAATCGAGGTAAATGTGCTAAACAATGGAAAACTATTTTATTTTGTGTAATATGTGAATGGCAGTGATCAATGAAAGCTTGCTATAGGAAGCAGTAAAATCAATGTTATAGGGTTTTTTAAATTAGGCAAGTTTTCTGTTTTATTTCATAAAACAGGAAGGAATATGTCAAACATTTTTCGAAGGTAGTTTGAACTTGGACTATAAAGTGGCTGCTAAGCACAGGAAATGCAGTTTTATTGCTTGAAAATTGCACTGACCACAAAAAGGGGCACTGCATGCCTTTATTATCAGCAATTAAAAGTGATTTTTTTAATTATCTTTATTATTATTTTTTCATTATTATCTGTGAATTTCAGTTTTTAGATCAACGTATCATTGTCAGAATTAAATGCCACTATTTGAAGCAAATAATTTAGTGGGCTCAAATACATTTTAAGAGCAGTTCAAAGTAGTATTTTAACAGTCTCAGAATTAGCTCATATTTTGTGGAAATTGTGCATCGTTATGGTAAAAAATCACTTCTATAAAAACGATTTTAGTATATCTGAGGTTTGTCACATTAATTGTTAGCATGCTGATTTAGAATGTGATCTAACATCATTAGAACAGACATTTTAAATGGAACATCTTTGAATTTTTTGAAATGCTGACTATGATTTTATTATAAGACATTTTCAGATGTTTAAATTGTATCCGAATTATTAGAAAATAGAAGCGTAAATGATTTGAAAAATGTTAGTAGAGGTTAGTCAAGTTCTTTCCAATTGCTCAGGTCTTTTGATAAGTTTAATAAAATTGACATTTTATGCCTGAAGTATAATCTTGCACAAAAAGTATTGGCAGTTTAGAGCAATTAATTTTAGTTTTAAAAGTATTGACAGTTGAGAGCAATTAATTTTAGTTCTATTTCCAAGCAGAAAAGAAGAGTCAATTTAGTTGGATAGTTAATGTATTTGGAACATGTGATTTTTTATTGACTTGTTTTAGGTATATTTTCAAAGCAAATTAAATGAAATTTCACTACTGTTTTTATGCTAGAGACAGAAGAATCAACTGAATATATTAAATTTTTGCAAAATATTGAACATTGGCTAAGATATTTTAACTGCAATGAAAAACATTAATCTAAATTTTCTGATAAAGATTAAAGAATAAAACAGCTTGAAAACCTTAAAATCACTATGATGAGATTAATCTTTATGGAAATATTATTTATGAGATAAAGTGTGTAACCTAAATTAGTCATCTTTGATGAGAAAGAAGGATTCAGAATTTTATCATTGCTGTTTCTGGTATTAAAACTTGCATGAAATGCTGAATTTTCATGTAACTCATTCAGAGGTTCTAGAAGTATGTATCAAGATTTGAAAGAAATTTCTGTATAGTCTAAGGAACTCAAGCTAAATATCTAAAATAATTACTAACATTTTTTTATGTTGTTTAGAATAATAGGAATTAGATTTATATATGAGTATACTCATATATAAACCTACTCTATACTCATATATAAAGTATGACCTAACTCAGACTAATTGAAACAATTTGTGAAATAACAAAGATCAGTTATTCATTAACTGTATGTTTAGGGGTCTATCCATTTCCCTAGCGACCACTAAAAACAAAATATACATACATTTTGAAGGCTAATTAATAGTATGTTTTTTTAATCAACTGGTAAGTGCCAACTTCCTGGTGTACTCAATAGGTCAACTTAATTTAATGGGTACTCTAACATAGTAATGGGAGGTGCATACATTTGTTATGTGTAAAGCCGCCATAGTTCATTTAGCTAGAACTTTGTGCGGAATTTGCAAAGGTAGGTGGTTGTCTTCACTTGATAACTGGAATTAGATAACATACAAATTATTCTTGATCAGTATTCTGCAATCTGATAAACGGAAAGGGACCAATCAGAGCTGAATGGAACTTGCATTCTATCCTTTTGACGTGGTACAAAGAAGTCATCATAAAACAGCAGCTCCCCATGCAATATAATGTTTTGACTGTCAGATTTAGGTTACATTCCACGAGTGTATGAAATGCTGACCATGGTCCGAGTGATAAAATTGTTAAACACTGGGGCCCCGACACAGGTTGAAACCCCTATGCATGGCGGTGAGCGGGTGCATGGGCGTCTGAGCGGCTGCATGGGCGTTTTCATCCGCTGAGCGGCTGCATAGGCGTTTTCGTGGTTTTCCCCAACTGTAATGTGGATATGAGCCCGTTTCCATTAGAAAACCCTTTTGTAAGGTTTCCATTCCATCAGGTAGATGGTCCTCGCATGCTTCCCTGTAACCAATGAAACCAAACCCTTTCACATTACTGATCATATTGAAATCTTTTCAAGCAGTATGTATATTTATATCTTCAAGACTAGAGATCATGTTCATTGTTATTTGATACACATTTTTACCTGTTCAGAAATAATTATACAGAAGGTAAATTCTTTTCAATTTGTTTGTCTTAATATTTTATTACTGAATGTTAACATTTTTATTTTAAGCTTTTTATAACAAATAGGTAAGAATTATAAAATTCAGAAAAAAGCAAATGATAATAGATTGTGGTGAATAACAATCATCAATATTATGAGATGCAAGAGTATTTTCTTCAGTTTCCCCAACATATGAAGATTTGTTTTAGCATAAAAAAGTTGAAAAGTATAGTAAAGATTCTTGAATATTTGTCTTTACTTGTTAGGTAATGATGATCCAAATGTACTGTGTATTGAAGGTGAAAAATTAGTAGCTTAAACCCTATGTTAATAAAAAGAAGTAGAGTCTGATCATCTTTATTTAAGAGTGAAAAGTATTAAATAAAATATTGTTTCTGGAATCCAAGTGATTCAGGAATCAAGCGAAAAGTTCAAGAAACTTTTGCCCTGGAACTCGAATGTTTAGCATGTTTTTCACGCATTTCCCATGTTCTTTGTTGGAACAGGGGTACATGGGTCACTCATGTGCCTTGTGGTAGAGTTTGTTGTTGAAAGCTGCAGTGAAAGCATCTGCTGTGGTTTTTTATGCTAATTTTAGGTTTTTATATCTGTTTC